TTTTTTTTTTTGCGGAACCAGGGATCGAACTCAGGCCCTTGCGCTTGCCAGGGAAGTGCTTATTCCACTGAGCCATCTCCCCGGCCCCTTATTGTTAGCTTTTTAACCCTCACTTTTTATTTGTAATTTGAGTAGTACTTTATGTGACTGCCTCAGCTACTATTATTTAAGTTCTACTTTAATTTTATACTTAGCCGTGTAGTATATGTATTATTTACTAAATAATGTCTTTTAATTAGTAAATCCTCCAAAATCTTGAAGTAGAAATGAATCATTTTACCAAGATTGTAGGAGAGAATTTTATATTTTTATGCTGTAGCACTTCAAGGTCAATGTTAGTGTTGATAAATGGACCTAGTAAAAATAATTCTTGTCACAATAGCTGAAATGCCTGTTTGGGAATTGTCCCTCATTTATTTGCTAATATATTGTTTTTTCTTTGCCCCATTACATTGGGTCTTAGGCTTTGAGCATGCTGTGTCTGCTGCATGAGTATGCTCAAAACTTGGCTAACTTGGATTGATCATAGTAGCACAATTTTATAATCCCAGCACTTGGGAGGCTGAGGCAGGAGGATCTTCGTGAGTTTGAGACCAGCCTATGCCACACAGGGAAATCATCTCATAAATCCAAAGTGGGAGGTGAAAGGGGCGAGTGAGAGGTTAATTCTATTTTTGTGGTTTGGTTGTTATATTCCCGGGCATCTTTTCTTAGTCTTCTCATTACTAATACTAATTTTGTTCATATGTATCTTCCAGTGCTCTGAACACTTATATGGTCTTGTAATTTTCTGCATTCTTATCAGTATTCTCTGTCAGAATTTTGGTTTGGATAGAACTGAAAATGTGCTCACTTTTGCACCAAGGGCCCTTCTGTCTGTATGTCTCTGCCTCTGTCTCTGACTGTCTGTTCCTGGCTTAGTGTTAATATTTGTTGAATCAGTTAGTGAATACATTTATCTACATAAATGTTAGTACCAAAAATATGCCAGGTAGTTTGCTAAAGACAACTGTTGCTCTGAAGGGACTGATAGCTGCATGGAGTGAAACAGGTGGGTTCCTTGAAGACAGTCAGTTGGAGGAGTGTGCTAGAAGGGGGAGGTAGCAGAGGGGCTGCCACATTAGAGTGGTCCTTTAGCGAAGAGTTCTGCACAGAGGTGACACTTAAGCTGTTTCTTTGACTGGGAAAAAGAAACCACCCTGGGTAAATCTAGGCAAAGAGCATATTGTGTTAAATAAGAGAAAGGCTAGTTAGCTTTCAACCAAGTGATCACAGGGGGACTTAGGGTTCAGCTGCTTTATGTTAATGGTTCCTTAGGCCTATGTGAAGAAAAATACGGAGTATCTGTCAGTGAATACATGTACTTTGTAGGTGAAATTCTTAGAACTTTTTGGAAAGTAGACCTAGGTTCCTTTAATTTTTTTTTTTTTTTTTGGTTCCTTTAATTTTGATAATTTAATTTTGTAGAGAATTCAGGTACTTTTTCATTAATAAGGAAGAATATAAAAAAAACTGGTAAATGAATTTATCTCTCTTTTCTGTTTCAGATTTTGAGGATGATGATTTCTATGGCCAGTCTGTAGAGGATGATTATTGTATTTCGCCATCAACAGGTGAATTTTTATTTTATTATATATAATATACATATACACACATACACGCACACATATATGTTTTAATGTATTTGGTACAGCGTCTACAGGGTCTTGCTACACAGATCAGACTCTCAGTAATTCTCCTGTTTTCAGCCTCCCAAGTGCTGGGATTACAGGTGTGCCACCACGCCCAGTGTCAGTCATCCTCTCTATGTGCCCTGGGGGCAGGGCCGGCACACGGGCCGGCATGGCAAGCTGGGGATTGATCTCTGGCTGCTGTGCTAGTCCGCTGAGCTGACTGACCCAGAATTTTTAAAAATAACTTGATTTTCTTGATTTTGTGTTCAAGTGTATCAGGTAAGTATTGTCATTTTAGGACCAGAATGTTCCATAAGACTTAACATTTATATAATGGATATGTAACATTTTAAAAAATGCATATATTTTAAAAAGTATATACAGTAATTTCTTTAACCAAGAGTAGTTTTTAAAGTTTTGATTCTGTCATTTAAACAGTTTGAAGAAAATGCTCAAGATTGTTTTTTCCAATATTCGTTGCAACATACAATTAATCTAAATTCACTAGGATGGTTAATTGGTAATGAAATTCTAATACCTCTGGAGGCAGACAGCAGTTAATTTTATGTCTGTAAGGATA